CCAAATCGAGATCAATCTCGCGTTCCAAAGTGAGGGGGTTCCCATCAGAAAAGCAAAGACATATATAGACTATAACTGTCGGAAAGGAAGGAAAACCTCTCACCCCGTCTCAAAATCGCGGTGATTGCATGCATCATGCAGTGTTTGTGTGCCAATTGGAATTGAGTCTACATACACAATGTTTCAAAGAGAAGTCTGCATCTGACCTGCATGTACGGCCGGGAAAGTGCGTGCCAATGCAAGCAATGACAGCAATAGGACGCATCATCACCCAATCCATAATATCAATCCTCACATCTTTTCCAAACGACAAAGAAAGTGCGCCCCGATTTCCAAGGCTGCCAGGTTCCGCACCATTCTACCTCTATCATTTGCGACTTAAGGACATATGTATATATATATATATTATACACCTAGGACCTGATTGACCCCTGTTTTGGAGCCAAAACATGGTCTTTTCCTATCAAAACAGAGGTCAAATGGGGTCCAGGTATATATATATATATTAACCCCACTATGCAAACGTGATCAAACGTGTAAAAGCGTTGTGCTCCCCAAAACCACAGCCGTGTCTACAATGTATATGTGGGTGTGTCGCAAGTTTCACACAACAGAAACTCACCATCATCTCTTCAGTGCTCATGTTTGTTGGAGAGTGCAAACGAAGCTGCCTTTCTACACTTTGCACCAAAAGCCGGGCGAAATACATGAATCATTGAAATTCATTCTATAGAATCCAATTGCATCAGAATCGATTGTTTTCGGTGTTGAGTTGTGGAAAAGTAATATTTCAAGGAGCTTGTCTATGATTGTCTTAGCTCAATGAAGCCCTGAATCTTTCAGGATTTTGAAGCAACCGGTGCCTGCTGCATGCACTCTTGCCGTTTTGCGGCTGACAATTGTTGGCAAACCTTGGCAAAACAGGCATGGGAAGTTCTATGAATTTCTCATCAGCAAAATTTGGCGAATGAATACTGGCGTGGGATCGCGGTCGCTCCATTCTGGAGTAAGCTGGTCCCTAGAATCTGATTCGCTTGCCTGGGGACCAAAATCAATTCCGCTCACTTCGGGCTTCTGTATTCTTTCATCAAACGGTTTCTGTTGAATAGCCAGCTGGGAACCCATTTTGCACAAGCCAAAAGGATTGTGAGTTGAGAGTGTTTACTTGTCAAATTAGGACTTTCGCTGAGAAGGGTCTCCTTCACCACGACACTGACGCTGGTGGCCGAGAATGGCAAAGTGCATGATCTCTCATTTACATAATTAATGCAGGTGGTCGGATAGGGTGCTGTGTCAGAGCGGCATCGAAGGTGCTGTCCTTCTGTTCACAAATGATGGCTTGTTTGCACTCGCACGCATCTTGAATGCGGGCGCTGGCAGGACTACAGAGTCCTGAAAATCCCTTTCCAATAGAGTTTTGTGGGTCTCTAAAATTAAATGACGCCATGTGCATGAAAGGTCTTTTGCATGCTCAAACCAGAGTGCGCATACCCTCGTCACGGAGCGAACCGTCCGATGCGAGTGGTGAGTATTGAATAGTATCGGCGTCAGTGTCGCATTAACGGGCACCCTGCTCAGCAAAAGTCCTGCTTCACCTTTTTCAGCAATATCTATCGCCTTTCTATGTGAAGGCACTATAAGTCTATAAGTCTGAGTGACAGTTCTGTTAGGACGATTCGTGCAGTGGAGAATGAACACAAGAGTTTGACTACCATTGAATTCACTCAAATCTAGCGGCAATGTCCAGCGATGCTGTCTGCTACAGGATGCAAGTGCGCAAGTCCCAGCGAAGCAAAAGCATGCAATCGTGTTCTGCTTGTCTGGTTTCCTAGACATTGTTTGTAGCTGTCACACACCAGAACCAACCCTTTCACCCAGTTTCCAATGCCAGTGCAAGTCCCTTAATTACCCTTCTAGTTTTTCTTTGAACTCCCTGTCTGATCTATGTTCCCTTTCTAGTTGCCGTTGCGTCTTGTCTTGGACAATCTGCTTCATCAAAGGAGGAAACTTGACAACTGCTGTACCCCTGAAACCATAGCGAGATGTTCTTCTTTGAAAAAGCGGGCCTACTTTTATAACATGTGGCCACCTTTACAGGAAGCCGTCTCAATTGAATTGCATTCATGCATTCCAAATGCAAGTCGATACAGAACGGTGGTCGTGGTCTGGCCAATTGATGGAAAAATGCGTAAAGAATGCGTTGGACAGTGGTGTTGTCCTGTTCACTGCCCGGCCTCTTCCATGCATCTAGCAAATTGATCCTGCAAACCATCCAGGGTAGCATGTTCAGCTTCGGAAACCTAAGCTCTAAACTCTGAACACAAAACACACCAAATTGCCAAAGTGGTTGCTTTCTTTCTTGGCTTTTCTGGATAATGCCATCAGGTCTCCTCACAGAACTTGTGAGAAGTTCCACAAACAGAGAAGCACACATCATGGCCTGGGCAAAATGAAACTGCACAAGACCGGTCTACACGGTTGAAATGTGTCATTCGGAACGACATGAGCTCAGAATCTTGCTGTTGCAGCAGCGATGCAAGCCATATGGCTCCTGACTCATGCGCATTCTGCATTGTTTCCTCGTGACACAAAACCACACTTTTAGGTAAATGTAGAATCTGTGAATCTGTGAACACTGTTGATAGGTCCTAATAGGTGAAGCGGATTCTTCAAAATTAACGTTCCAAATTTGGCTCTCTATAGTTACTGAGGCTTCGTTTTTGGATTTCTGGCTTCGTTTTCCCAGGATTTGCACCAGTTAGTAATACTATGCTCTGTTTGTTCACCAGGTGAGTTAGATTACCACTGCACCTTTACCATGTGAAGTACTGCACCACTCCAACAGTGCGGCTTTTCTCTCAGATGGTCTAGAAAGGACACTTTTTCGTAGATTACGGCTTCGTTTCGGGAGTCGTTTTGAGACACCCCATTTCATATGCTCCAAACCCTCATATAATCGAAAGCAACTTTGCAGAGAGTCCAGGGCTTCCCAGGTTCAACTTTCCAGCTCAAAAAGAGATGCACATGCAAGCATCCCATCAAGAGGCTTCGTTTTCGGGATTCCGGCTTCGTTTTCTAATGAACGCGCAATATTATCTCACTAGGTAGTAAGGCCAGGAGCCCCTAGTAGCGTCCTTGCTCCTAGTAGCATGCCCTTTGCTCCTAGTAGCATTCTTATTCCTGTAGTAAGGCCAGGAGCCCCTAGTAGTGTTAAAAATAAGTGTAAGTTTTCTGGTGGTGGCTCACGTGAGTCGCATGCAACACCATCACTATTCGCGTCCGTTTCTTTGTGCAGAAAGCTTTCTGAGCATGAGATGATTATCTCTCGCTCCAGGGATCCTACATCTCAAGAACAGATAAGAAAAGTATGGGTGGACTTTGGTCCTTCTGGAGTCTGGAGTGGCAAACTTTGTGGGTTTTAGCTTCGGATTGTGTGCTAGCTTAGAGAGCGGCGGGTGCAAACAGCATGCCGCAACTTGATCTCTTTTGCACAACAAGTTCTTGCCATGCCCAATGCGAGAGGCTCTGATAGGCCGCATGGAGACACATCGACCATCATCGTAACAGCGTAACAGTAGTATTCAGAAATTCTGATATTGGTCACCGGGCAATTGTGCATTCGCATTGCTGCTTCGGCAGCCGTGATTGGTGTGGAAAGTTGAATAGACGCACTCACATTGATAGCGAGCAATGAAACTTCACGCCCATACAGCCAGCCCTGGATCATCGTGGACTGTTGTGGATCTATTTTGGTCCTGGTTGGACAGCTCCTTGTCTGAATCTGTTCGATTCGTTGCTGAACTGCTGGTCAGTAAGTCCAGATTCAAGGGTCAGCAACTGGTGACTGTGACTATGTAGACCATGAATATTCATAGTTAATACAACATCATAATGCCACTACGCATCATGTGTGTGTAACCCTTGGAATCAGAGGGAACCTTAAGGTTTGGAACAGGGGGCGTGACGGTCGATTTCCTAGTCACGCCAATGAAGCTATGGAAATCGACTGGATGGAAGTTTGGACGCAAACTTCCGTACCTGTTCCCCTATTTAGGAAAACAGGAGGAAATGGTACTCGACACACTTGTGTGTCGGTGCCTTTCCTTCTGTTTTCCTCTAAGGCTACCCTATAGGTTGCAGGTAGGCCTCCAAACCTTGTAAGGGGTTCTTTAACTTGAACTTTGGCCTCCACGCACTAGAATGGACCCCCAACTTTTGCTGTTTTGCTGTTTTGATGTCTTGT